TGCCTCGCATAGATGAAATGGTTGAGCAAGCGCAAGGAAATAATTACTTGCAGAAATGGATCTGAGATCTGAACATCACCAATTCGAGTGTTAGAAAAGGATGACTGGAAGACTATCTTCCGAACTCGATGCGGACACTTCGAGTCCGTAGTGATACCCTTCGGATAGGACCAATACGCCCATAGTTTTTATCAGCTAAATGAGTAGGGTACGTCTTTCTTAATCAGATCAGTTCGTCATTTCTCCATGTAATGACTTACTTATCTACCCTCGTAGTAACAAGAAACCCATGGAAACATTACCTTCAGAGGTAATTTTCGCGAAGTTCTCTAAGAACGAGTTTTGAAATTGAAGAGTCAAATTTCTATGACACACTGTTAGTGATGTGGGAAATTTTGAGTACTCTTACAATTTGTCAAAACCGTTGAGAATTTGTCGACACCAGAGACGCCGACAGTCATTCGCCAAATTCTAGGTCTTACAGATCTACTGTCATAGTTCATCTAGAGCCCCTCGCAAATCACAGGAAACTGTACTACCTTGACCCAGCAAGGAGTGGCCCTTGACTGGGAAGTTAAACAAGAAAGGAAACCTTAGAGATTCCAAATTAGAGACCAAGTTCTTTAGGAAGTCTCACTCTGGGAACGGCTTAATACGCTTCGTAAAGCGTGGAAAGCTAAATCCAAGATAGATAGGACCTCCAAGATTCTTACCAGAATCGTTCCTGTATCTCACTGGCTAGATCTACTCCGCGAACTCAGTAACATACATTCTACTATTCACATCTCGATCGTGAAACCATACCTTTCTGTTAGGACTCTTGTAAGTCCACTCGTCGAGATCCTCGCCTTCGTATTAGAACCATAGTGACCCTCGACCGAGAGGTCAAGCGGACAAAGCAACGCCGTTGCCAGTTAGTGAAGGTTCGTTGGGATACCAACCGAGAACCCGATTTCACTTAGGAGCGATAGAACCAATCGATTAGGAAGTTTCATCCTCACGAATCGATCATTCATACCTACTTCCTTATCTAAATTCTAATTTTGGGATGAAATTCCCTTTAACAGGGGGATGATGTGACAACCCAAAATTTCCATTCTGAACAAACCATATCAAGCCAATAGAAGTTAGAACGGTTACAGTGAAATTCCAGACCTTGGGTATAAGTTTGAGTATTTCAGGTTTAGTACTTAAGGAGATATCAGGAGAGTGGATGCACTAAGGTTTTGTGCAACACTGTTATTCCAATACTCTATGATATTTGAGTTCATTCCAGGAATAAAATATTTTCTGCCAAAAAATCTCAGGACTATATATAGAAATCTGAACCATATTCATTCATTAGTTGCATTTCCAACTAGAGAAAAGCCGAATTCTCTCTCATGGATCTTCAGGTTTTTATCCAAAATTGTGAGTACTTCTATCTAGTTATATTATATAGCTTAGATTGTGTTTTATAACATCAAAATCGGATCAAAACCCCAAGATTTGGGAGTTTACCGCCCAAGAACACTTGGAGAGTAAACTCCTTTATAAGGGCCAAAGTGTGCCCAATGTCCCTCAAAGCCTTGCAAATGAACCTAGAAGCTACCATTACATGTTTAGACCACAAAACAATTAAGAATCAAGGGTGAAAGTGAGTTCACGGCCAAGGAAGTTCTTGGGCCGTGAACTCCATTTTTTTATGTGCTAAAATGCCCTAAAAGCCTTCTTTAAGCCAAAAGACTAATTTAGACATGTACCCTAATGTGTTTATAGCCTAGAAAACATAAGGAAACACAAGGATAAAGGAGTTTACAGCCAAGACAAGTTCTTGGACCGTAAACCCCTATAAATGGGACAAATGACACCCTAACTCCTTCCTTATGCCTAAAACCCAACTTAGATCATATCCTTGAAGTGTTAGGAACTTCAAAACATCAAATAGTACTCCTTTCCATGAGTTTACGGCCGTAAACTCATGGGGGAGTGGTCCCAAGGCCGTGAACATTAAGCAAGGCCATTTTAAGGTCTTAAACCCACCCAAACACTTGTTTAAGCCTTGAAGCACTTCACCACTTGAGTCGTAATAATGTTATGCTTCATTTAGTGACCCTATAGAGAGTTTATGGCCACGATTTTACCCCCCTGGGCCGTAAACTCCAACACATATGGTCTTTTGACCATAAACTCCCATAAGAGGTCTTGCACTCCTTTGTTGCAAGCCATTAGCCTCCTAACACTTGACCAAAAGTGTTTTCCTCGCATAAGGATGTTTATACATGTTTAATTAGTGTTATAATCACTAATTTTTTTTATATACATATGTCTTCATATGTAATTAGGACCATTGTGTGTGTCTAAATTCTTCACTTGACACCTGGCAGTCCTACCTCTTCAGTTCATCCGTATCACCCACAACAGGTGAGTTCATACCCCTTAATCAACGTTTTAACTGTTTTTAAATGTTTTATGAGGGGGGGATACAAGTAGAATCATGCTAGTTACTATATCAATAACATGTGATTAGTAAGCAGCATTCAAATGATTGGCTACTCATTAGCCGTTTTACCAAACAGTTTACTTCAAATGTTTTTCATAAACACTTTACATGTTTAAAACTCCTTATTTCACTGTACATTTTACTCTGTATGTTTCATTTCAAACTCATTTACAATTGTGTTTCAAACAAATTTTCTTTATACTAAACTGTTTTATCAAACCCATGCCTTCAAACCGTTTTCTAGATTGACAACCAATCAATCTTTTCTTAGATAATAATTATGTTCAAAGGTTTTACAAAACTTACTTTATGCTTTTATATTATAAATTGCGTGCCTATATATGTATATTTACATAAGGAATGTTTAAAAGACTTAGGAAGGCTATCCACCCTATTTCCTTTTCGCGCTTGAGATGTGGTTTGGTGGGATATAGGGTACCCGTCCGAAGGTCGTTTAAATATTAGTTATATATCATGTGTACATATATAGTCATAAAGGTCCTTCCAGTTCATCCAATGCCCTTGGGTAGCAAGGGTATACATCCATGTCTATACGTACTAGTTAGATTACTAGTAAACTACCATAAGGGTAGTTTAGGAAGATACTAGAACGCGATATCATACTAGTTAGATTACTACTACTAGAACGCGATATCATACAATGAGTCAGTTCATTCATGAGTCAATACTTGCTAGTTAGAGAGCACATACATTATAGTACATTAATATACTTGCTAGATAGAGAGAACATACATTATAGCTAGCACACGTAGAACATTTCAGTACATTACATATACATGAATACGTTGACATAATTGTGATCCACTGTATCGGAGCATGCCTTCAATGGCATGGCCCGAGTTGTAGCCAGGGTCTCTTGGAGGGAGAGCGTGAGTTTGCGTATAGATCTATATTGGATTGACTATCCTACATCTTGCTGCTAGCTACAGCCGGACCTGCAGGTCTGCGGGTGCCAAACGTCATACCTTTTTACGACCTACATTTGTCGTTGTTACCCAGTCGATAATATGGTACAATTAATCACATGATGCCTTAATATAAATCCGGTTTAAGGTAGTTAGTACAACAATAGTTCTTATAGCGCTACACTTCAGTACTACATTAATTTTTCCTATACATATACTTAGTGATCTTTTCACTTAAATTTTAAATGTAAAAGCTATATTTTGTTAATGATAGTTACACTTGGGAAAATTTCACACTTTTACAAGAAACGAACATTTAGAACAGTTAAGTCTTGGTAGAAGGCTACATTCAGAACCGTTAGGTCTTGGTAGAAGACACCTTTATATAATAGTAGGAATCATAGGGATTACTAGGGTTTTTCAAACATTTACAGTTGTTTTACAAAACATTTTCATACTTACAGTTCATATACATTTTCATACTTACAGTTCATATACATTTCAATACTTACAGTTCATATACATACAAATACTTACATACAGATTAAGACACTAAAATACTTATGATCTTACCAACTTCAAAGCTGATACTCTCTTTCAAATAACTTGTATCCTCAGGTCAAACATAGACAGGTACCGATGCAAGGTTTAGAGAAGATGGAGCTCGTTCAAGACTCATCTTTCATTTTGATTTATGCTTTAGTGTTTATCAAAATTTGACAAAACACACTTGTATAATAATTATATTATTAATGCAATGGATGATGTTGTTGCTTGGTTACTACTTTTCATTGTTGTGATACTGTACATGATGTCCTCCGCCCCAGAACGTTTCCGCCATTCAATCGTTTTGGGGTGTGACAGTTGACCAATTCTGTAGAGTACCTAGTTTTGGTGATGAAAAAAGTCAATATCTTGATGATATTGCTATTCTTACTGCAGGCAAGTATTTCATATGTTGGTTTTTAACAAAGGGTCCTGGTTGAAATCTGTCTTCCGACTATTCGTTATGACTACATTTGGTCCCTAAACTTTTAAAATTTCTATTGCATACAGGAATTGTAATCAGAGAGGAGGTAGGTGTTGACCAAATAATCAACCACCACTGATGGTGATGGAAGCACACAGGAGTTGGTGAACAGACGGGTGGCTCAAATTAGAAACCTTGTTGAGACAACATAACAAGATAATGAAAAAGAAAAATTAAATCAAATAATTTTATTTTATTTTTGTCTAATCTTTTTACATATGTAGGTTGTGGGTGGAAATGGAGAACAAGTTTTAAGCAGGGACGTCTACAGAATTGGTCAACTCTTTGATTTTTTTCAGAATGCTCTCTTTCTACTTCATCACAGATGGTTACTATGTTTGCATAATTGTAAAAACATTTTCTTAATATAACTTTCTACAATCTTGCTTTTTTTTTCCAATGGAGCTCTTGTTTTTCATGCAGATGGCAGTTCTAACAGTTTATGTTTTCTTCTATAGGAGGGCATATGTGGTAAACTATTTACAATTACATAGAGTTTCCAATTTCAAATTTCTTAACTATATATGATCTATATTTAAATGTCAGACTTTCTCAGGACTTGATGAGGGAGTTGTATGAGAAGTCAACAAAAATGGAACATGATCTTCATGGAGTAGAAGCTATGCGTGCTGAGCTTATGCAATTACATGATGATATTAAGCAGTTGACTTCTACACACCAAAATCTTACTAGTCAAGTTCAATGTATGACTCGAGATCTTGCTAGAGCTACTGCTGACTTGCAGCAAGTCCTAGGACTGAAGTCAGAAATTGATGGGCTTAGACAAGAATTACAAAAGGAGCAGGAATCAAATGAGAATGAGAATGAGAATAATGAAATGTCTGAAGTGAAAAATGAAAACACAGCTGCAGAGTAGAGTGGAATAAGTAGCTCTTACAGCTACAGAAGAAGCTCTTACAGACTTAGGAACATTACCATAGAGTGGAATAAGAGGAAGCAGAAGCACTGAAAACACAACTGCAGAGTAGAGTGAGTTTTTTTTACCTTTTTTATTTTTTTTAAATTAATTATTTTCAATTTTCTATTCTTTAAATTCTTATGGAAAACATCATTCAATCCCAAACTTCAATGTACCTGGTGTCCCTATTTCTATTTGGAGTTTCTTGACCTTTGCATTGGCGAACAAGAGATAATTAAGCTAACTTTGGCCAATTAGTTTAATTTAAACACTTTGCATGACACTCATTGGTTTTCTTTTCTGATTTGAACTGCTAGACACTCTCCTGCAAATTCAACAGGAAGATGGCACAGGCAAGGAGTATCCTTTAGAAGCTACCCTTGAGGCCACCAAAAATACTTTGATTCAAGGCAGTACAAAACTCTTATTGGTAGATCATTTTGATTCCACTTTCATACATACCATGTGTATTATTAATTAGTTGATATTGATATTGTACAACTGACATGATTATTGTGTAGGATTTCAGTGTTGTTCTTGATCACGAGTTGGGATTGATATTGAAGTTAAGTGACATGATGATTGGTTGGGTACATGAAGGGTTTTAGAGCTTCTTTAGATAGCTTAATGACGAGTTATTGAAACAAGAAGGTGTCGTTTTATAGCAATGTAGTATTAGGTTATATAGTTAGGGAAAACCTCTTAACAAACATGTACAATAAGATCCCTTTAATATCAATGTATTATAATTTTTTGACATGATGTTATTGGATGAAATTGATTGTTTTGGTATATATGTGTTTCTATATTTTTGTATTATGCGTAAAAAGTATCATAAAGGCACGTCATATATGCATATCTTAAATGGTTGCTGAAGTTTATGACACACAAATGTGTGTCATCTTCATTTATGACGGGAGCTTTAATGATATGCAATGCGTGTCATAAAGGCACGTCGTAAGGTTACGACACGCAAATGCGTGTCATCTTACTTTATGACAGGGCCTTCCTTGATACGCACTGCGTATCGTAAATGAGCGTAGTAAATGCGCGTCGTAAATGCGCGTTGTAAATAGACGACGCGCAAAAGTGTGCCATCTCTCGTTATGACAGAGCCTTCCTTAACACGCATTTGCGCATCGTCTGAGTGTTTTACGACACGCATTGCGCGTCGTAAAAGGTTGTTTTTCTTGTAGTGAGAGAGCGCTACAAAGATGATGTTGATGAAGATATTAGAATTGAAGTGAATGATATTGATGAACAATTGGATGCCTTGGTTGATGTGGACTCGGATGAAGATTTCATGGCTTACGATTAGATTATGTTTCGATTAGATCATGTTTTGATTAGATTATCTTTAAAACATTAACACATTTTGAATTTTCTAGTTCCTATTATATTTATATATGTTTTACGTAAAGTAGTTTTATTATTAGAATTATTATTATTGTTGTTGTTATTATTATTATTATTATTATTATTATTATTATTATTATTATTATAAAAATGCCGATATCCCACCGCGATAACCTATATATCGAATATCGACCCTTGACCGATATTTGATTTTCGACCGCTATAACTGCAGAGTATGAGACAACGATGCTGGCTAGAGTTACTCAAATATTTCGACTGTGAGATACTTACCACCCTGGCAAAGCAAATGTTATAGCTGATGCTCTAAGTCGAAAAGTAAACTTTGAAAGAAAAAGGGCAACAGAGTTAAGAATAAAAGTTGTCTCGACGATTGTGGAAAGCATCAAGAAAGCTCAGGAAGAAGCTTTGGAGAAAATTGACCGAAAGGAATAGGCAAGATGTTGGTATTCGGTACAAATAGTCAAGTATTGAAGGTATTCCAAGATAGAATTTGGGTACGGTAACAACCATCAAATTTTGGTTAATCCAAAGTCAAATAAAGTCAACAAGTCAAACCGGTCAATGTAGCTAACCCTGGTATATTAGGGTTTGTACTATGTTTAAAGTTGTACAACTTGATATGATAATACAAAGTAATCACTTGAAAGTTTCATGTGTTCAGAATTTCTAAACCCTAATTGGGGTAAGTGGTGAAACTTTTTGATAAAACATTATTCCATACCCCTCGGGGGCATATAACAATCATAATGATGCTTAACGGGGTGTACAAACCTTGCGTTGCAAAGCTAAACATCCAAAAAGGTGACAAACAAAGTCTCTCTCAATCTCTCTTTATCAATCAATATCTCTCCCAAATCTCTCTTATAACCTCCCTCAACTTTTTATAATGATTTGGGGTCATCCCGACCCTTAACTTAGCCAAAAATAACCTAAAAAGGGAAGAAAACTTGAAAAACAACCTTATAGAGACGAACCTTCTTAGGGACAAAACACTAAGAAGCAAAACTCCTAAGAACCGAAGGGCCGAAGCCGAAGCAACCGAAGCCGTAGCCTGAAGGAACCGAAACAGCATGGGCCGAAACCCTCCTACCGGAACCGAACCTCGCCTGGATCGAACCTCGCATGGACCGAACTTCGCCTTCGCTTCCTTCCCTTCTCGCCGGCAAGATTTTCCAGACAGAATCCCCTCACGGATCTCACCCACAACTGAAACCACCTTCGGTCCTTACCTTCCCAGGGACCGAACCCTCGGCCCTGGATCTAAAATTTTGCAGATTTCGCCCTTTTTCCTGGTTTTCGACCACTTTTGCATTTTAAGCACGTTTTTCATGATTTTAAGGTGGAATTTTGACCCAAACTCATATTTTGACATTTAATACCCTATATATTCATAATTTAAACACATTTTAAGGGAAATCTTTTCCTAAGAATAAAATCTAGTGGGTAAGATATTGAGGTGGAGTGTTGACTTTACCTTTAAGTCATGACACAAGCAACCCACCACACCCACTCCATGGCCATACTCAGTCACTATTCATCCATACTTAGCCAATTATTTGTCCTTTCACCTTCTTTCTCCAGCATATGAGGGTGATCAAGGTTGAAAATCTTTACTTCTCTTCCCACATTCTTCACACTTTCACCAAGAATCAAACCTTTTTCTCTCACTCTCACTCTCTCTCTAAACTCGAATTTGAAGGCTATTCTTGAGCTTTCCACTCCAAATTTGCTAAATAACTTCATCCTACACTTGATTTTCTTATATCCTTTCACTCAAATCATGGATTCCTAACACAAATATCATCATATTTGTTCATAGAACCTTCAAATCTTCAAGCATCTCCCAAGTGTTCTTGACTTGGAAACTTCTTTTCTTCATCATCCATCTACTGCAATCACTCATGGTGAGTTCATACACCCACATTTTCATGTTTTCTGCTAGTTTTAGGAGGAGAATACAAGTTAAAACACCAACAACATAACTAAACTCAAACATCAGCTTTTAACAGAAAAGTTAATGTTCATTCACGAACTGTTTTCAACATCTTAAACTTTTTAATTTTCAAAACTGTATTAGGTGCAAATATTTCAGGTTTATACCTTTAAAATGACTACTTGCACATGTCCATACAATTTTCCTACAATTTATGGTGATTTTTACAAAACTGCCCCATCACTGTAGCTATGAATTCGAACCTGTCTGTGAATATGAACATTTTCACACCAGTTAGGGGCTTCTAAAAATCATAATAAAATTTGTGAACAAACTAGATACATTTTCTAAACTCTTAGAGTTTATGGATCTAGTTTTCGATTTCATATGATTTTTCTTTGATTTTTCTAAATCGGTGTAGAAATGGTAAAAACGAATTTACAGATTACAACTTTTATAACACTTTGTAACATGTTGAGCAAAGTGTAAATCTTTGATGGCTTCATATTTTGCGTGTGTTTTCTATTGGGATATAATTATATTAGAGAAAAATGTTCACTAAATTGTAAGAGCTCTTTATTATTACAATTAACACATGATGAGACATAATAAACATAATTATGTTTTCCTACATATTCTACTTACACTGAAAAGGTTACCATACATTACAAACAATTTGATAAACTATAATAGATATAGTTTATGTTTCTTATTCATTATGAAAGAGTACATTTCTACAAAAAGAGGTTTTCAATTTCACACTACGTAAATCTGTTAATGAATAAATTTGTGAGACATTCGCATCACGTTACTCCAAAGTAACGCAACAAAAGTCCTGTAATTATAACCAAAATCTCTTGTATGTAGAGAATGATAGTTGTGTATAGATCTATATTGGGTCTGACTAACCCACACCTTAGTTGCATGCAACAGCTAGACCGGCAGGTCTGGGGTGACAAATGTCATTAACATTCAGACGCCTGAAGAACGTCGTATACAAGATCGACTAAGTCATAGTATGGTTATAATAACTCACATGGGGTATTAACAAAACATAAGATTTATGGGATTTCCATTTAAACAAATGAGTTTATGTCAATTTAAAGCTGCATGATTTACAATTTTTGTGGAAAATACTAGTACACTAATAGTCTTGGCATTTAAGGCTACATTACATTGTTAAAAGGAAAATATTGGATTTTTCTGGAACAAACATTACTTTTACAAAGAAGGATTTAAACATTTCATTCAAACGCTTATGAACTCACCAACTTGATTGTTGACACTTTTTCAAAACTACTTGTATTCTCATGGAATCCGTAAAACACGTAAACAACAGCTTTTGAGGATGGGACGCTAAGGCGTCAAACATTTCATTTTTGTCAACATAATGTAATTGATTAGAAACATGTAAACTTATACTATGGTGTAAATTTTTCAATCATATTTATGTTGGTTGTTTGTACTTTGAGCACTATTATACTCGTTGTTGTGATACTATACATGAAGTCCTCCACCCCCGGACGTTTCCACCATCCATGGTTTGGGGGTGTGACAGATTGGTATCAGAGCATTGTTTATAGTGAACTTAGTATATCAAACCACATAAGATATACAAAATATAAATGCATTGAGACTAAAAGTATCT